TGGCGGGAAACACTTTTCTGCACGCGGGTTCTCTATAACAACAGAACACTCCGTCGTGCAAAAGAGCTGCAATTCGGCGGGAACATAATTTAGCGGTGCCGAAGCGCACACAATCAAAAAATCCACATCTTTGGGTTGTGACAGTCATAACCAGCTTTCTCTTTCTGTAATGTGTTTACAAAAGGAAAATAATAATGTTGTCCTCCTGTAAGCTAGCAACTGCCCTCCTTCCTCTCTCTCTCATTTATTTTTACTATATTAGGTGTAATGAAAAACTGAGAGATTTAGATTAGCTACAGGTTTGTTTACCAGAGTGCCCTCTTTGTTGGTGTTCCAGGTCATGCCATTTGAAAATATGCATGGACACAAAGTGTCCCCATCATCCATTCCAGCTCTCAGGACATCATTCTTCATAAATCTCTTTTCAGGCTTCTCAAAAATGCCTAATTTATTTTATTTATTTTACTTGCCAGAGTAGGGATTCCTTAATCACGGTATAGATATCAGTAACAGTTCTTTCATAGTGCTGCATTTCAGTCTCTGGGCCATATTTTGATCTTTGTTGCATCAACATATAGCAGTACCTCCACTAGTCATCGAATTCATCTTTGCTTATAAAACTGTTCAGTTGCTTTTAAAGGTCCATTATGTATCTACTGATAATTTTTTAGCCTAAATATGGGCATGACATTTCCTGAATCAGTCACTTTATACATTGTGCATTTGTCACAGAAACAGCAAAGGGCCAAAATCAAAAACAGAATATCCTGCAAAAGGTGGGAATCTGCCTGGAATTTCATTTTGAAACATCTTTTTTTTAATGTGTTTAAAGTTGTGATGCAACTTGGCACAATCAAGATTTCATGTTTGCATGGTCAATTTGTACTTTGGTTTTGTCTCCTGATATTGGTTGATATTTGGTAAAAACAGTGTCTGCTGAAAGAAGTGGAATAGAAGAAGTTATTTTTTATGATGATCATCTGCAAGGATCAAGCTAGATTTGTACCAAGAAGTCATAAGTGACTGTAATCATCATCAGTCTAGTATACCGTTGTAAGAATGTACTTTCTGTTTAGGCACTATCACCGGAGTTAATGAGGGCACTGCTTTCTCCTGGCCCACGTGTAACAGATGTGGCAATGGAAAACTGGAGTATTATCCACGGGATCGGTAAGCACCACTGTGCTGCTTGAGGTACCGAGTACCTTAGTGCAGGTCGGGCCCTAACAGCCATATATCTGATGCACCTTTTCCTTCAGAGCAGCTGATACCTACGCCCTTCTGTATAATTAAGGACAGAGGAAGGTCTAAAACTGTAACTATTTAATTGACTCAGCCAGCAAGATAAGATTAGCCTATCAAGGAAGTTAAAAGCAGGGGTCAAATGGCAATGATTGCATTTTTACAGACTTTGCACTATATCACACCAGCACTTCTCAGTGAATGTGCCAGGCTTTACAGACAGTGATTGTGTGTGGTTTGAAATAGGTGTTTCTTGTATCCCCCTATGTATAAAACCAGGTGCTTTAGTGTCTACCTGTGCAGACTACGTCCTAACCACAAGTCCAAAGGTAACAAACTAAGCCACTAAGGCCTGTCCCACTCACTTGTTCCCCAGAGACTGGCAGTTAGGCAAAATAGGTGGCATGGGAGTGGCTCAGAGCTGACCTGAGGTCCCTCCTGCTCCAACCAGTCTGTTCTACTTAATTGCTGGTGTGTGGTGCAGCTAATAGGCTTATTTTTCAGAGCTTAATAGACTCAACAATAGGTGTGTGGTGCACCTAAGTGAGGCTTATTTTTTGGAGCAAATCTGGAGTCACATGTGGGGGAGGCAAGTCATATACACATGCCTTACATGCCATATATAGTTACCTTATATCTCAAAATTATCTTCCTGTTTTTTCTGATGAAAAGTTATTAACTTTGATATCATTCTTCCTATTATATTCAAGTAAGAGAGATAAGAATCATAGCAATTAGATAGCATTTTGAAAAGCCCTTCTGAAAAGGACCTTAAGCAGTTCCTCTACAACAGGGGTGGGGAAAATGCGGCCCAGGGGCCAGATGCAGCCCACCAGGCCATTCTATCCGGCCCACCGGGCCCCTAAAAAATTTAGAAAATTAATATTTATCTGCCCTGGGCTGCCTGTCATGCAGCCCTTGATGACTTGCCAAAACTCAGTAAGCGGCCCTCTGCCCAAAATAATTGCCCGCCTCTGCTCTACAAAGAAGTCACACCTGCAAAGTCTTATTTCTCAGAACTGTTCAGGACTAAAAGTAAGGGAGACATATTCTTTTGGAAAGATGGAGAAGTAAAGAGCAACTGCATGCTGAGCTATTGGTTTCTTATTGGCACAAGCAGACTTCCATCAGTTGGAATGGCAATCCTCACACCGCGGTGCTCTTAAGAAGTCTCCCCTCTAACTTACTACCCAGCCAGATCCTGAGCAGATAGACACCAGATAATGGTTGTGTAAAGGAAAGAAATGGGGATGTAATACTTTTAGCGACATTTGAAGACGCATGAGCAGAATAGGATTATTTTAATCCACAATTATTTCAGCCCTTTGACTATTTGTAAATTAGAAGAAACATTTTTTTTTTTAGAAGTGTGGAAAACCATAGTGTGTGCTTTGTTCTTTATTTCCCCTGAAAAACCACAAACCAAAAATACAGATTACCTTGTTTTCATATCTGTTCATATGCATGTGAGCGTACATATGTGTTTCCCAATGGATTAGACCTTGTATCTGGAAGGGATTTATTATTGTTTACCTAGGAGTTTAACATAAATTATACCTGACAAGACCCAAATCATCAAAGTGTTTAACCATAGGCTTCGTTTTATTCATCTGTACAACTCCCATTGAAGTCAATGAGACATAAATGCGTCCTGAAAATTAAGAGTATGCCTGAGTGTTTTGCTAAATTATGGCCTAAATCAGTACATAGTAGCTACACTACAAGGTTTTGTTGTATAGTCATGTTGTTTGTGTGTGAAAAATCACAACCCTTAGCCAACTCCAGTGTGCCAGCAAATGCTCTGTTATGTAAATGTTAAATTATACTGATAAGAGTCTTTTATACTGGCAAAAGAGTCATTTTGGAGTATAGGTACATCATTCAAGGACCTGTGTTTAACTATACCAGCAAAAGAATGAGTAAAGTGTAACAAGTGTCTCCACTAAGGGGGCTTCATCAGTCTAGGTCAACTAGCAGAGTCCTTCCAGCCTTTATCCCTTTGCCTCCTGATATAGGGGTTGATAACTTGTTTTCCATTCATAATTGATATTGTCTTATTTCAGGGAAATGTTATACTGCAGCCTCTGCTCCCAAGCTATAATTTCTCCAGTTCTCAAAATGCAGCTTGAAGTCTTTCTGCGTTGTCCATCCCGACCTCAGTGTATGGTAAAAGTAAAGGTATGACGTGACCCGAGCTTAGAACATTAAGGTATATATTGTAATCAAGTGTAAGGAGGCTATGCATTCTTATACACAGGTTTGACTTGCAATCTTGTGTACAGGGTTGAGAACAAAACTGAGAATATTGTCTTCATAAAAACAAAATACCTAAAATTCATGTGATTATTGGACTGAAGTTTAAAACACTAACCCTGCAATCCTCATTCAGGTTAAACACTACTGGAATTCACCCATAGGCACGATCTCAACAAAGTGCTAAGGCTTTATGCAAAGTGCCGAATACCATCAACTCTGATGAAAGCACTTCACTGGATTGGGCCATTAGGAAATAATGAACCATTTCGTTGACTTGGCTTAAAAGAAATACATGTTTGGAGTCCTATCCTGAGGACTTTTGCCTATATTACCCTTAGTTACTTTAGTTTCATTAGTCAGTTGTTTCATAAAAGCAAGAACAGATCATTCTATATTTAAGATATGAATTTACACTAGACATTACTATTTTGATGTAATTCTTTTTAACATGGAAAGTAAATCTTATGTATAAATAGGAATTTTGCCTTGTACTCTCTCTTTTCTTACTGCAGCTGTTACAGAAGACAATTTCTTCTATCCTGATGTGCTCTTCCAGTGAGGATGAGGTAGGTATACATAATATTGCACTAAATACAGAAATTGAAACTATATTGAGTTTAGTTTAGGGACAAAGTTTCATACTGAACAATGGATATGCTGAACTATCTATGAGGACACTGGACCAGACCATAAAGACTACTTTTTCTTATATTTGGGTATTTAAGAAAGCTTAGGAAGGAATAAAGCAGTTTCCTACCATTCAAGAAAAAAATGTGTATTTGCAGATGGCTGTATTGAGGCACAGAGGTGTAGCTTGTTGAAGTCAGTGTCAAAACTACAGTAGAATCCAGGAGTCTTGGCTCCCAGGCCTGGTATTAAACCTTTAAAACACAATTGCTGTATATAATAGCAGCTACCATAAGAGGTAGCATTGTGAAATATATCATAGATTGAGGTGTTTTGTTGGATTCGGAATAAATGAAACATGCATAAATGCAAGTAATCTTGAATTATAAGGCAAATATACATAATCATCAAGTGGTTACTTTCTCTGTCTGAGATAACACCAGGAATGTGGTATAGCACCATTTGTTTGTCTTGCATTTTAATTAGTGTGTTTAATTTTCATTTATTTAGTGTACTGGATGTATTTGAGCTATAGTGAACTTTTGCGGTGGAAGGCTTTTCTGAACTGTTCTTGCAGTGAACTGTTCTTACTCAGTTTTAGATTGTAGGTGGTGTCTTCCATGTAAGCTAACAGACACGACGAATAGAGAAGAGGGTTTTTTTTAATGACTAGTTATCTTTCTGCAACTTTTGAAAGACAAAACCAGTATTTTATACAGTACTAGTACACCCTGTTCTAAAGCTTATTAAAATGTCATTTGACTTACATTTTTCTCTGTGTCTTTTTTTTTGTTTGGAAAGCTTAGCAGAATGTATTACAGCTCCTTTGAGTTACTGCAGTTTGGAAAAAAATACCTAATTTTCATGCTGAAACTCTTAATAAAATTGTCCAGTTTTCCTGAGGGATACCACTTGAAAACTTGCTGTTCTGCAGGATTTCCTAGTTGAAATCCAGTGATCAATTTTCTCATTAAATTTGTTAATCTTTTTAACTCCTAAATTATTATTTTAAAAAGAAAGCACAATGCCAAAGATGAAGCATGAGAAATATCCAAAATAGTATTTTTGCCAGTGTTACTAGAGCTCTGAAATGAGCCCTCAAGCAGGGCACAAAGAGTCAGTACATCTGTGTTCTATTATAAGCTTTGCTATTAGCATGCTGTAACCTTGGACAACTTACTTAACCTTTAAACTTCAGTCTGCTACACTCTAAAATGAAGATAGGACTGCTTTACTTCAGAGACATGTTAAGCGGCACAATTAGTGTTGGTAAACTGTATTGGAATCCAAAAGGAGCTGTATTAATGCATATCATTTTATTTCTGTATATAACAACGCAGTAGAAAGATCTAAAGTTAAAAAAAAGGTTTAAATAGTTTCTAAGCTATATATTAAATGATTCTTGCCACAGGTACATACTTACACGCACTTCTCTGTCACATGCAAAATCATTAAAGTCTGAGAGAGAAATAAGCAAATTTTGGTTATATTGTGAGGTGCTAAATTGCAGTGACTTTTACACCTGGTGCATTTTTAAGGGCCTGACAGTGTGATGGTAAGACTCTAGTTAGGACTGATAGTTAGGAAGCAACTTACTTGATTTCTCAAATAACTGAAAATCTGGGGGGGTTTAGTAGATAAAATACATTCTTCATAACTGCTCTGTAGATGCTTTATTTATTTATTTATTTATTTTTTTTGAGCAGTTAAAAAAATGTATACTGGAAGAGGACTTTACACTCTGTATCTTTGAGTTGTATGTTGCCTAGAACAGAATGTACAGGACTGTTTGTTTAATCAACATGCCTTTATCGCTACAGAGTTATGAGGTGAAGAGAGTGCTGGGAAAGGAGGTGGGGTTATTGAGCTGCTATGTCCAGACTGTGACCAATCACCCTAGCTGCATTGCATTGGAAGAAATTGTCCTGCTAGAACCAGGAAGAAATTGAACTGAACCTTGTCAGCTATTATAATATCTATGGACTTTGTCATGTGGTTATTTGTTAACTATTAGCATAGATAATAATGCAAGCATGATAAGTATTGAGGTAGTTTAATAAAACTGTGATTTACAAAATGCCTTATGCTGGAAGTGAATACAGTTCAGTTTTTTGAACATGTATATGCCTAGCACTTCTGATGTCCAGAATTGAAGAATATATGCATCTTTTTGCAGTGTTCTATTGTTTGTAAACCTAAAAAGACTTGTTTTGGAGGCCTGAATGTTTGTAAAGAGAATTACTGCTGATATTTGTATAATGAATGTTAAGATGATGATGTATGTATTGTGTGTCAAGGAAAATACTTTTAAAATGTTCTTTGAGACTAGTTTATTTTAGCATAAACAATGAACATCATTCTATTAAGTTGGAGGCTTGAATAATTATTTCCAGAAGCCTTATGCACTCCTGCTAGGAAGGAGCTGCTGTAATTCTGAATTGTAATTGCACTGCACTAAATATTACAAGTGAGGAAATTGTAATATCCTTGGTTACCTTTTGGATGGTGTATCAAAGGTACCTTCCCCCTTATAGTTAAACTCCTTTCTAAATATAAAACTACTGTTGCAACCTCCCACAAATTTCCCATTAGGTGAATGTTTCGTCACACATGTGGTTAGTCTTAAGGATAAAGAACTGGTTCAGGTGAGGCATAACGGTATTTTCTTATAGCTACATTGTCTGTAAATATGGATAGAAGTTTAGGTTGTAACCATGCCTAAAATAGTAGATAAACATTTGCATCTATAGATTGAAATGTGATGTAAAGCTAGATGGACCACATGGGTCTCTCTGCAGATCAGATTTTTTTTTAAACTTGTGCAGCATGTGGCACATTTACCAGCAATAATATTAGCTCAGTTACAGGGTAACTGTTTCTGCACACTAAATAATTAAGTAGTACTGTGGCTTCTGAATAGTAAACTACTACCTGGCACCAAGTGGACATTTCTGTGGACCAGGTGTACGAGTGGTAGTCAGCCAGATGCTACCAGGTGTACAGGCTGTGACAAGGACTGTTTTGGGCAGGAAAGCACTACAGCTTGGCAAGGGTGCTTGTAGCAGAAAACCCACACCTGTCATGTTCTTAACAAATGGGCTTCCCAGTATGGGGGCCTAAAAGGGCTTACATTTATGCACTGTATTTCTGGATCTAGTTCTGCTTCCCCTGCCCACCTGTCAGTAGACCTGGATTGTGACCGTCAGTTGTCCTGTGGTATAGCACATCATACAGAATGCTATAAAACACAGCTGGGCAAAAATGAATGTATCCTATCCCTGAACTAATAACTAACAATCTGTTTTTCACAGAACACATTTCTGAGATCCTCTTTAAACAGACAAATATAGTTTTGCAATATTTTTTTGCGGGGGGCTTCATGGTGGGGGGAAGGAGCTTTTCACTTGGGTGAAGTGCTGATGGACGGACACCCCCTAGGAAGTGTCCTTGCTGTTAACTAGTTCTGGCAGGCTGCCTCTAGGAAGTGGCTGAACTGCTGCCTTATGGTAAGTATAAACTCAACCCCTGTACGGCAGAACATGGGTGGAGGAAGGTGCATTTTCTAGCTGTTAGATCTGCACAAGTGACTTCTTACAGGAGGCAAAACTAGTAGGAAGCCTTCAGGCTGCTCAGTAAGCCCTGTCAGCACTTTGTCCCGGTTGGAAAAAGCAAAACAAACCCTTTCCTGCCCAGGACCTGAACAGACTCCCAAGCAGGTGGGGCAGTCCCCAACCTGGAGGAGAGTGGGTCGACACCTGGCTGGGATCATTTGAGCTCAGCAGGATTCCTGTTCAGAGCAGGGGCTTGGACTCCACGATCTCTCAAGGTCCCTTCCAGCCTTCAGCTGCTCCCATCCAGGGCTAGCTCAAACCTGTGCGTGGAGCACCCCGCCAGGAGACCCGGGGCCGCATGCCTCGCGCTGCCTAACTTTCCGAGGGGGAAGAGGGATCCCTGCCCAGGGCCCCCCAGCTCCCTCCCGGCCACACCACACGGAGCCCGAGTGTCTGCAAAGGCTGCTTTATTCTTAGAAACGCTGTAAAAATCGATATAAAAGGTTGAGCGCGCTCGGCCGCCCCGCACGCGCGCGGGGGGCTGCGGACCCTTTCCGACGCGCGTACCGCCCGTACCGCAGTACAACCAGGTAGAAAAAGACACGCGCACACACACACACGCACGCACGCACACACGCATAAGCTCCCGTTACAAAAATAATTTAAGGGCAAAACACAGGGATTTCGCTCGAGTCCGCTCTTTTCTTCTTGGCAAGCGTGT